TTGGTGTCACTTGCTAATAAGGGAATGATTCAGTTTTCTACAGGTATATAATAGTCGATTTTATATTAAAATAAGACGAAAGTTTAGAGCTACTTTAATATAAAAAATTCAAAAATCTCGTTATTACTTCATTGAAATAACCAAAATTATATTTTTTCCTTCACAGATAACGTAGACGGAAAAGTGAGCATAGACTTAAAAATAGAAACTAAGAATGATAAAACGCAAATATATGTGTCGAAAATAAGCACTAAACTTAATCTTAAAACATTCAAAGTTGATTTTGATGACAGCCAGAAAGATTTGGTTCAACTAAATGAAGCTTTAAAACAAACCCTAAATGATAACCAACAGGAATTTATTAATGTTATTGTGCCAATAATAGAAAAAAAGGTTTCCGAATTGGTCATGTCAATTGGTAACAAGATTACCTACAATTAAACAGAATGGAGCAACTGTTTCCCGACGAGATCTAAATTATCTAGAACTCTGGAGATTTTTTATTGCAAAGTCGCTATATGCATCTTGTAATATATCCAAAAAATAATTAAAATACACATTATATACAATATATTTTAACTATTAAAATTAACAATAAAATTAACATTAAAAAATTGGTGATGTTTATTTCATTTGAGTTAAGTAATAAAAACAAGCATTATTTATTGAAAAATTACTAATACAACAGTACCGATTTGTATGGAATAATAGTTAAGTCAAAATATTATTTGTCTCAATATTTGAACGTTATTGGAATAAATTATTGCTTATTGGAATAAAATTATTATCTATGTTATCTGATACAGAATGATTACAAAATTATCTGCAAATATTTACTAAAATTAAGATTTTACATTTTGTTATATTTGCAACTATACTATTTAATATTAATAATCTTTCAAGTTCCCGCAAATTTATAATTTATATTATTTATGCATTTGTAACAAAAAGATTAAAATTATTTTATGCCTTTATATATCAAATAAAGATGAAATGCTTTTTACATTATTTAAACTAATACAAAACATTTTAAATCAAATTTCCTTGAATAAATAATGTACTTGTCTAATGATTGAATGAAAATGCATAATTTATTTATTACTATTGAAGTAAATTTTTGTTTGAATAGAAATTTATTTATTTTTCTATAAGACAGAATTTTATTTTTATTATTTATCGTTTGTAAAATTTGTTATTAGTTCCAACCATAGAGCTTTAGCTTTAACTTATCTTGATGTACGAGAACTTAGAACGAATGAATTATATAATTACAGAATAAGAAAAAATTAATTATTATACAATCTAGATACAGAATCTAGCAATAGAATGAATATACATGAAGATACATAATATACATAAACAACAGATCATTTCTGAACTCCTTCCCATTTATAGTTTCCCTCTCTTCTCCGGCTATATTAGCAGCTATATTAAAAATTATAATCGTTTTCCTCTCCTCTCATTTTAAAATACTCGATCAAATGATCGTGCGCAGAGTAAGAGATTCTAATTGCGTTTTTGTCGTAGTTGAACGATATTTTTATTCTACGCATGTGTCATAAAAATTGAAATTAGTACTTAGCTGAGAGGACATTCAAAAAGAAAAATTGTGCAGTATATAAAAACGATCAGTTTATCACTTGATTTATTTCCTTACATTTGTTAAGATCGTTCCGGAATGATTTTGTATACTAAATACACTTTACAAGGAAATCTTTGTTTGGAAAATGTTTGCGGCTTTCTTTATTTTTGTACTTGTAACGGCATATGCTGCAGAGGAACTATGTAAGTAAATAAAATAATAGTATTCGCGACACATTTTTTTCCGTTTCGATGTATATACGTATATAATATTAATTTTCCATAAAATAGAGAAAAAGAAACATTTCTTTCGAAATGATGTTACCTGGTAACTCTAAACAGCTCTTATGGTAGTTATTATATATCTTAACAATTTGACCAATGTTCAGGATTAATAAATAACTATGGAAATAATTTTCTTTGTTTGGGACAAGCTTAATATTAGTCAATTTCACATAAAGGTCTAAATTTATTTTTTTTTCACGCAAGTGTTTCTTATTACACACATTATTTAAATGCATCCCTATTATTGTAAACTCAAATCTGAAAGCATGTTTGCCATACTGAAAATTGCAATGTTTGACGGAATGCGCTTTTCTTACGAAAATTTTTCTTGAGGATGCCGTTTACAACGTCATAAAGCTTGAATCTTCCTCTTTAATTTGAAAAAAATGCAAGTCGCTACGATTTTTTGTCGTAAAGTTAAAGCATTATTTTAAGTAACCCTTATATTTTTCTCATAGGTCGGCATTACCCGATGTGCATCACAGAAAGGTTGGCGATCGAATTTTGCACATCGTGTGTGTTTTATACAGTTCGACTTATAAAAGTGAACTTCGACTTGTAAAGGCTACTTTAAATTCGAGTTACAGAAGTAAAATATATATCTAAAATGCCTGACAAATAATTCGAGTAGGTAGGTTTTATTTCGATTTATAGAGGTTTTCTGCAGCGGAGAGGAAGGGGATGAATAAAATTTTCGTCTTATAGAGATTTTCGAGTTGTAAAGGTTCGAATTATCGAAGTTCGATTGTATAAAATATACACGAATAGATCAATTCTGACCTCCTCTGCTTCCTTTCCTTCTTTAGTTATAGCGATTAAATTATAATTTTTTTCCTATTCTGCCACTTTAAATTACTTGAGCAAATGGTTGTACGGAGAATAAAAAGATACTGCGATCGTAGTTGAATGATTAAAGCGTAGAATACAAATTTTACTCAAGTGCCGTAAAAATTTTTATGAGTATTGAAGGAATGTTAAAAATAGGATTGTGAAATTTACATAGAAGCCCGACCAGTTTACTTTTGAAGTTATTTTTGTCGATCATCCATTAAGATCGCTCCGTAGTGGTTTCGTGTTTTAATTTGCAAGAAAATTTTCGTTTTGTAAGGACGAAGCGACTCCAACCAAAGTCCACGATGTAAACACGTTATCGATACATTAGCGGTGACTTTCGAAGAATTTGGTAGTTGATCCCCAACCGCTGACGAGGTAAGACAAATAAACATATATAATATTGACCGAGTGATTATTCAAATATAACGGCCTTTTTCTGATCCCGTGTGCCTTACAGTACAGAAAATGTTTTCTGCAATCTTTGCTTTTGTGCTTGTAACGGCATATGCTGCAGAGGAACTACGTACGTAAACAATAGTATTTGCAACATCTATTTCCATTACGATGTATATATGTACATAATATTAATTTTTCGCAAAAATAATGAAAAAAACAATTTGTTCTGAAATTGTATTACTTAATAACTCTACATAAGCTTCTTATAACGATTATCTTAACAATATAGGATTAATAAAACAGTATAGGATTAATAAATAACAAGTTCCTTTTGTTAAGGGTAAGTTTAATATCAATTAATTGCAATACACATGAACAAAAAGTATAAGCTAGGTTTATTTTTTTTTTCGCAAGTGTTATTATATGTACATTTTCCATCTCTTATTTAAAATGTGAAATTCTCAAAACAAAGTACAAATTAAAGTTTTGAAGTCTTATTTGACTTTTTTAAAGTCATGATTAACATATTGCATGACATATTAAAAATTGAAAGTCTACTTTAATTTACGTTAATGTATCGTTGTACTTTATATACAGTTGCATATTATTTATAAATAATGTTAAAATAAAAGTTTAGCCATTCCGTTTCATTCTCCTTATTATATTATTAGGTATTTTTATGAAAATTTTGAAATATGTTTAATTTAGTGAGTTTACATTTGATTGTATTTATTATAAGTTTTACTTAATTTAATGGCAAAGTATTAATAATTATTCTGTTAAAAATATATAATGAAATTTCTACACTTTAACAACAACTTCTTTAAATATTAAAATAATAAAGGTGTGCGAATCAAGCTTTTGCATGGTTGAATCGAATCGAATCAAATTTTTATAACATGTTCGAATCGAATCGAAACAAATTTGAAATTTTCACTTCAAATCGAATCGAATCGAATCGAATCTCTTTAATTCGAATACGAATCGAATTTGAATCAAATTTTCCTAGATTAACATTACATTAGTCGATCGGTTCAAAATCAAACCATTGTTGATTCGAAATTCTCCAACTATTCGATTTCGAATCTTGCAGATTTGAATTCGAACTATTCACACACCTCTATAAAATAGTTTATAATAAATATTTGAAACAAATTGCAGTATTTACGCATTTATTATATTTCAAATATATATAAAAGATATCTACTCTCTTTATCTTGAAATAATTAATTATTGTATTTTAACTTATTTTATATATATCTTAACTAATATAATATTAATTAAGTTTCAAATTAAACAGATGATTTATATTATACTTTTTGTAGCATCCTACATTCGTGTGTGTGGCCGCAAAAACCCCAATTATAATGAATGTCTATCGGATAGCATCAACATTGCAAAGAACAAGGTCTGTACAGGAATGCCGGAATTTGGCATTCCTCCGAGTGAGCCACTGACTGTAGACAAAGTAGTTTTTTACAACAGTGATAATCTTAAACTGAATATCGAAGATGTAAAAGTAACAGGATTTTGTAATTTCGAAGTAAAGTCCGTTAATACATCCTCTGATAGGCTTCACTTCGAAATTGATGTTGTGCACAAACATATTCAATTGGTCTCCAAGTATGACGTCGACATACGTATATTGGTGCCACTTATTAATAAGGGACTAGTTCACATTTTTTTAGGTACGTACAACAGTTTATCTTGCATTAAAACAAGACGAAAGTTTATAGAATTATTTATTTGAATATAAAAAAAATTTTAAATTCTCGTTATTACTTCATTGAAATGACTAAAATTATGTTTTTTTCTCCACAGATAATCTAGACTCAAAATTGATCCTAGACTTAAAAATAGAAACTAAAAATAATAAAACAGAAGTATATGCATCGAAAGTAAACGTTAATACTTATATTAAATCATTCACATTTGAGTTTGATAACAGCATGAAGGACTTGATTCAATTACATGAAGGTATTAGACAAGTCGTAAACAATAACCAACAGGATTTTCTCAATATAATTGAGCCAGTAATGGAAAAGAAGATCTCCGAAATAATCGTGTCAGTTATTAACAAGATCACCTACAAAAGAATGGAGCAAGTGTTTCCCGACAAGCCATAAATGGCATAATAAATTATTTAGAACTCTGGAAATTTTTCTGTTATTAAGACGCTATTATGCATTTTATTATGCATTCAAAAGAATAATTAAAATACATTATATACAATATATGTATGTATAATTTAATTATATTAATAATAACAATATTTAAGAGACTGGCGATATGTGTTTTTTTAATTAAATAATAAAAGCAAACATTATTTATTGAGAGATTGCTAGTGCAACAGTACAGATTTTTATGGAATAATTGTTGGTCAAGTCAAAATGTTATTTGTTTCACAAGTATTCGTACATTTTCCGTGACTCGCCGAATTTAATAAAATTTGGTATACTTTTAGAGTAGTCAAAAATAATAGACACCTATTTTTTTAATAAATAGTGCAATGGTGTAGGTTTAAGGGTGCAAACTATTCCTTATAATGATAAACACGAATATTTTATTTTTTGCATTTTAA